ATGTTGTCTTGAAGCGTGGTGTAGCATGGGTAACAGTCTTCACGCCAGGTACTTGTATGTGGGCGTATCTGCATGTGGGCGGACCTGCCTGGAGGCAGATAGAGGAGCGGTGTCTCAGTTCCTAAGACCATTGGAAATATGTGTTTTCCAATGGTCTAAGGCGACCCGGGGAAAGGGTCACTCGATTCCCAAAGGGGTCTGGACCCACAGGTTGAGAACTGCTGGTCTAGGTCTAGATGGAAGATGTGTTGAGAAGCAATAACTTCAGGTTTTGATACCTTCTGACTTCTTGTGAGGAACATGTAAGTCCAGAAACCATGGAAAACGGTGGGCGGTGAGTAGAGACTCCATTAAACATAGCACCAGAGCCCTGGTGGTACAGTGGCTACGCATTCGGCTGTGATCTGCGTGGTCGGCGGTTTGAAACCACCGGCTTCTCTGCAGGAGAAAGACTGGGCTTTCTACGCCCGGAAGCAGGTCCAGTCTTGGAAACCCACAGAGGGTCGCCATGAGTCAGGGTCGCCGCGATGGCACGAGTGAGAAATATTAAATAACTATAACATCGTTATAGACAGTGGGTAAGTATCATAGTCTTGGTGTTGAAGAATAGGACAACCAGTGCTCAAGCACCTACCCAGTCTCACCAATTTAATTATCATCCATCTGAGGGGGCTTCAAAACATTTGTGGGGAAAGTGGAATGAAAAGAATGAAGATTTCCCAAGAACCGTCTGAAGGCTCCTTGTGCATCGATGGCTCCCACATCGATGTCTCCAGCTTCTTCCTGGACTCCCTAGCCTCTCTTTCGTTATTTCTCTCCATCATTCCAGAAGGAGCCCCGGGAGGGGCGGGGAGCCAGGCTGCTAACCTAAAGTTTGGTGGTTTGAGCCCCCACAACAGCTGCCTGGGAGAAAGACCTGAGGATTGTTCGCAGAAAGATGACAGCATGGAGAACCTACTGGCTTCTGGTGAAATTTTAGGGCCTCGCCTTTCTATTCCCATAGAGTTAACAGTCTTGGAAACCCACAGGGGAAGTTCTAGTGTCCTGTGGGGTCGCTATGAGTCAGAACTGACTCAGTGACTCAGAGTACTTATTGGTACATAAGTACTCGATAAATAGATATATTTTAAATCATTTTATTGGGGGCTCTTACAGCTTTGACAATAATCCATACATCAATTGTATCAAGCACATGTGTACATATGTTGCCATCATTATTTTCTAGACATTAACTTCCTATTGAGCCCTTAGTATCAGCTCCTCTTCCCCTCTCCCCTCACTCAATAAATATTTGTGAAATGAATGAAGTAGCTCAGATGGGTGGGTAGAAAGAATTGACAGTGTTTGATATCGGAATTTCGTAGAGCAGAGTGTCACAGTCCATCTTTCCTGTCGAACATGGAAGGAAGTTGAATACAACTGGCTGAAGTTTCTTCATTTAAAAACATCATCTCTTCATTATATAGGGCTCTGGGAGGAAACACTGTCTGTTGGTAGAAAAACATGCGTTCCAGATTCGGTTCCATCTGTTTCACGCCCGTTTTTCTCCCAGTAAAGCCATTAACATGGCATATCTACCATTCATAGATATGAATAAATTATTTCATTTATATATAGGTATGCAGACATAGATATATAAAACTGTTGGAGGCAGTTCAATAGTGTGGATCCCCTCCCCAAATTGGGTTTGGAACATTGGGGACTGGATGATGACACACGCATACCTGAAGAGAGAGCGCAAAAGGTCTATTGCTTACAAAATTGAGGCGGGCTGGAGGAGGGCTTGAGAGGACCCGGAAAGGACTGGCGTGGTGCTTCTCATGGGTAGGGGGCCAGCCAATGCGAGGGCTCCTGCCCAGTTTGAATCTGTTGGTGTCAGAGGGCAGAGTCCCCAGGCTTGCTTATCAGCTTGCCCAGGCACAGGGCAGGGGGAAAGAAAACAAGGGGTGAGGCTTCAAAGCTGCCATCAGTCAGACATCCAAAAGAGGAATTGCACGCCTCATTATCAGAGATATTTGGAATGATGAAGCCCAGTAACCTCAAAATAATATTTGATCGAGTTTTTGGCGAAAGTTGGCACAGCAACTCAAGTTCCATTGGACAATTTCCACACCAATTGTTCAGTGGCCTTAGCTAGCTGTTTCACAAATCTGTCAACATTCTCTTTATTTGAGTTCTGTTTGTTCCCTTGCCAGGATTCTCGGTTTCTGGCCCCCTTCTCATCAGGCCTCTGAGTAATTGTGGAACCCGTAGTCTCATACACTGATGCTTTTCAAGTAGAGAACCAATCTCATGGATAAAAAAATCCTGTCTTGTATGTGTTCCACTCTGCTGTTGCTGGAAACGGTGGTATCTGGGTAACTTGGTTCTAGGATATAGTGTCCTGACTCCCCAGTCTCAGGGAGTCTTGCATTCTCTACCACTCCAGGATGACTGCTAACCACAAGGTTAGCAGTTCAAAACTAGCAGCCACTCCGAGGGAGAAAGACAGGGCCTTCTACTTCAGTAAAGAGTGACCATCTTGGAAACTCACAGGGGCAACTCTACCCTGTCGTACAGGGTCGCGATGAATTGGCATCACTCGATGGCAGTGTGTTGAGCTTGTGTTTTTCACTCATTCTATCTAGGACCATCTCTTGTGGTCCTGGTCAAAAAGGTCAGCGGGGCTGGCTGCATGCCATTGAGTTTGGTATCAAGGTGGATGAGGTGGCACACATGGACTTGTTCCTCCTTGAAGCTTCAGAGACCTTCGCCCTGGCCACTCCCACCACCCCTAGGACCCAGGCAGCTCGCGTTGGCACTTGGCAACCAGAGGCCTGTCGTTGTGGGACCTATTCATTTTCGAATGGAGTGTTTCGGAGCGATGTCACAGTTTCCTTTTTAATACTTTCCTCCTTGGTTTAGGGAGTCCCTGAGTGGTAAGCAGATAAAGTGCGTGACTGCCCACAGAAAAGTGGCATGTTCCAGTCCACCCAGAGGTGCTTCAGAAGAAAAGACCATCGAATTCCGAAACTGCAGCCACTGACACCCCTGTGGGGCACACTCATACACAGACACACACAGACACACACACACACAATCACCGTGGGCTGGAACGGACCTGGTAGCCAACTGATAACTGGCTGGTATAATTGGCTTAAATGCCAAATAATAAGTATGTGCTCGCCCCGCCCCAACAGTAAACTTAAGTATGTTTTAAAAAAACTAAACATCGTATCTATTAACAACGGAACTTTTCTAGGGTCGTTGGTAAGTAAATCTGCACAATGCAAAGGCTACGCTGCAAGTGGGGTTTGCTTTCAGATCCCGGGTCCTGTAGATGGCTCTTCAGGGGGTTATGATGCCTTTGGCCTCTTGTGTCACAGCATCTCCTTGCTGATTTTCTGCTGGGACTCCAGCCCCAGCTGCAGGCATGCACACACATGTGTACTTGGCTCTCATGGTGGGAACCTGAGAGAGTAAGGTCTGAGCTATGCCATGTACCTCTGATTGATAGCCCATAGGAAAAGAGCATGCTCCAAAGTCCAGCCACACAAGAGACTTGATCAAGGCCCCAATGTGCATCCTCCCCAACACCCAACACCACTAGGACCCAGGCAGCCCTTGGACCTGCATCAGCTACTCCAAAGCTTTGGCACTTCTAGATTTCCCCACCACTTGCAGACTTGGAAACTTTTTTGTTGGTTTGTTTTTAAATGCCCCCTTGGCCTTTCCGTAGGTTTTATTTACAAAGGTTTTAAAATTTTTCCTGGTCTCAGACCTCTCTTTTCTGTAAGTCAAGTGGGCCGACGGTGCCATTGAATGGTGGTGAAATGGTCCTCGAGAAGTTGTGACTTGCCCATGGAGCCAGGGAAAGGCTAAGGGAGCACCCACGTTTCCTCTCCACCTCCTCATTTCTCAGGCCAATGGAACACGACACTATCTCGTGGCCAGTTTGCTCTTCAAGTAAAACAAAAACAAACAACTCTCTAAGCGCTCTGCTTAGCGTTGAGAATTGGACAACAAAACCAAAAAACCGCCACGGAAGTAGTGCCTTTTTCAGGGAGTGTACTCGGGGCGGCAGAGTGGTTAGTTAGGGCCAACAATGGTCGCTCACGATAAGGGCTGCTGGACCCTCTGGGTGAGGGAGATGCGGCAGTCTGCTTCCCTGGAGATTACAGCTTGGAAACCTTATGGGCCAGCTCTGCTCCTGGTCGCTCTCAGAATCGACCTTGGGTTTGGGGCGCTGCTTTGAGAGCTCTGCCTTCTTAACTTTCATTCTTTCCATCCTCCCAAGATCGGTCCAGGTTTCAGTTTACTGAAAACGGCCACAGAAGACTACAGTCCGCGGCGGGGTATAAATGCATCTATGCCCCCCTGCCCTCCATCCTTGCTTTATGCCAGAGTAGGCGGAATCCTGTTTGCACAAAAGGGTCACACAGGCGTGGAGAATGAAGTTCACTTCCATTCAAACTTCCCAAAGAGGCGGCGGGCACGGAGCGGACTTCTTCCAGGCACCCCATAAAGAAAGTTCAGCGCCGGTATCGGGCCTAGCCCAGG